TTGTGAGCCAATTTCGGTTTCTGGTGAGCTGCCTCCTATTGTGTGCCATAAGCTGCAATATTTTGCATTGTGAGTTTATTTCTGAACAGATCGATGTCTCCGAGAAAATCGCTCTTGTTCTCAGGAAATTCGTGTGACTCTTTATTTTCAGGGCTCTGAATAGCAGTCATGGTCCTAATGAGATATTTGACCCATGCAAGGTTAGAAAATCGTTTGAATCATTCTCTCATGCTCAACATTTATCCTTTTTGATAGGGTATATTAAAGTGGTGTTGTTGAAATATCAGATTTTCTCCTTATATATCATTTTGTCGATTCATTCAGTATTTTGGTCACATGTACGCTCCATATCCCGGACACGGGGATGGCGTGGCTGGGTACTTCATTTGAACGTGGCAACGACTGGCGCTTTCGGGGTATCTTGTGGTTTGGAACATTTCAAAGACACCCCTCCCCAAACCCCCGATTGCGTTCTGTGGATAATGGCGTTTGGCAACAAACCCGTAGTCGCTAGTGTACCCTCAGTGGAAGAAAAAAAAACAATGAAGGACCCTCTGGTAAGTGAGCTGTCAGCTTCTCTGCACGAGTTTTCCAGACCTGCTCGTTTTACCCCAGCAAAGGGATATCCTGCCGCCTCTGGCTCACTAATCGTTTCTTGGCGTCATCCAATGCTAATACTATCTGAAAGTGAAAAAAAACGAGAAACTCGTGATAGAAACAGAACTCGGGACAGAAGTTGCCCTTGTGTTTCGGTGGGTGGGACCACTGGGGAGGCGTCAGAACTGTCACTCTTGACGACCATGGCACCTTCGTTACTTACTGAGGAGCCGCGAAAGCGGGATAACCTTGAAGACTGGGGGTCAGATTACTTCTACACTCCTTATCCCTGAGCCAGAGTAGGCGTGGCATTTGAACATGGCACGGAACTGGTTACTCGTGGAATATTCCAGTCTGGGACAACTGTCATCTTGTTCTGTGTTGGACAGAGACACGACAACAATTGTGTCAAGATGAAAATGGCACGGAAGGGCATAAGTTTCACAAGCGGCAGTTTCCACTCAGGTGACAATGGGGTGCAGTTGGAAAATCCGTTCGCATTCCATGTCACCTCTGAAGTTTTCCCCAATATGATTAAGAGCTTTGTCATCT